CACGTGACGGAGTGAGCTCCTGTTGCTTGTCCCAGCTCCCGCCAACCTAGCGGTTCGAAAGCATGCAAATGCAAGTATATAAATAGGGACCACCTCGGTGGGAAGGTAACAGCGTTCCGTGTCTAAGTCGCACTGGCCATGTGACCACGGAAGATTGTCTTCAGACAAAACGCTGGCTCTATGGCTTGGAAATGGGGATGAGCACCGCCCCCTAGAGTCGAACACGACTGGACAAAAATTGTCAAGGGGAACCTTTACCTTTACCTTTACCTACTCTACAAGAATATTTCTAAGATTCTTGTTCTAATCTAACCTTTGATATATATATTTTTCTTGCATTCCAGGTGTAACAGTTAATACATATTCATGTTTGGACCCTGGTATACCTGTTCATGGACATCGTTATGGGCATGACTTCTCCATTGGCTCCACAGTATCATTTGGGTGTGATCCAGGATACAGACTGAGCCACGAAGAACCTTTACTGTGTGAAAAGAACCACTGGTGGAGCCACCCACTTCCTACTTGTGATGGTAAGAATTCATTGAACTAGCTTGGAAAAGCATCTAAAGTGCTTTTATTGCATTGATTTTCAGTCTTCTTTGGGTTCTCCGGTTTCATAAAGGTTTCTGTTAACTGCAGTCAGAAGTCATGATTTCTCTTGGCATGCCCTGGGTGAAATAAGGAGAGGGGCCAATCCCATGCCTGTTTCTTCTAATAAACAAAAGAATCTGGACCTGAAGAAGAGTATGCCATTTCCCTTTACACCAAAGTCATTAACAACAGTAATGATTTGTGGAGGAAGCGTTATGCATGATCCCAAATGAGAGAGAGGATTTTTCAAAAATGCCCTGTACCTGCTATCCTTTCCCGCTTAACTGTATCCAGAAGGATGTAAGGAACTCTGCATCCTCATGAAATCCCCAATCCTGGGCGCTGAGCTGAGATGTAAATCCTTCAGGGTGTCATCCTCACCAAGAAGAATGAGAATTTGCATTCCCTCCTTCTTTTGTCCTATGAGATTAGGGGAAATTGACTTGATAATTTTACACAAACGGAGTTAACTTACAAACGTTGCACAGAACTATGAGAGTTGCTGCTTTGTTTCATTGACTTTTAAAAATCTGAGACATGGGGTGGGGTTTTTCCCCATCTCCTTTGCCTAACTAGTCATATTTTATGTGTACTGTATGTGTGTGCATGTATGTAGTATATTTTAAGGGTTCTGTTTATATACTTCCCTATAGTTTTTAAAGCACTCTCTGGGTGGTTTACAAAATAATTATGTAGGCTGAACATTGCATCTTGCTCAGCAAGCTGGGTGTTCATTTTATTGATGTCAGAATGGTAGAAGATGAAGTCAACGTTGAGTCAGCTACCTGGGCCCATTGGTGTTGAACTCATGTTGTGAGCAGTTTTGACTGCAGGTCTGCAGTTTAACTACTGCCCCACAAGGATCCTTGTATTTTGTGTGAATAATTATTTTGTCCCAAGCCCTCTTCAGAGGAGATGTTAAGCCCCAAGGTAGATGTGGCACCGTATCTACTCTCATTTTCACTTACTGTTTAAACAATCCTGTTCTCAGCTTATGTCACCAAAAGGTGACTACTAGATCTTTTGTATCTCAGGAAGAACAATATTATATAAACAGCAAAGGACCTCACAAGACACATTAATAAATGTGAAATGAATATACCTTATTACAAATTGATTACAATTCTAATAAAAGGGGTTTCATGCATTCAGCACATTCACACGTCATACATCATCACAAAAGAGAGAAGAATTCTTGATTTGCATCGTCCGATTTGCAAAGAAAGTAGTTGGTTCCAAAAGCCTTTGGTCTCAGCAGACAAAATCTACCTGTCCAGACTCCTCCTTTTATATTTTTTTGGGGGCAGATTACCAGCTGAGCATTCACATTAGATGCTTCTTTGTTTTTCCCTAGATAAATGGTCCTTATCGCCTATTGTGAAGTATGGAATGCTTTTAGTTGCACTTAGAGGGTCTTCCATCACTAGTGGACAGGTGTGGAATCTGCTTGC